CTACTGGTCTAGGCTCTTGCTGCTGCAGCCACCTCCTACAGAAAGCAGCTGTTCCTTGAGGACTATTCTTAGTTCTTCAACCAGGACCATCTCATAGCCTCAAGCCCTATCTCTGCCATACACTTGGGCCCAATGAAGAACTTAGCTCTTGACCCCTAACTTGCAGTTATGTCCTTATTCCCACCCCTGGACCATTTGTCCTAGTCTCCCTTGTCTTCCTAAGGATGACCAATCTTGGCACATTCTATCAGATTGACCCCTCTGCCTCCCATCCTTTGGCTTTATCCAATAGTTGTGCTCTTATGCTTCACCACCAGAGTCAGACTGACACACACAAAGCAGCTTCAGCAGGGAAGGGAGGCCTTGTTTCTTCATATAAAATCACTGTGCAAATCCCCTTGACCGTGGTCATGGCCCTTCTTGCAAGGATATGTATCAGGGCAGTTAAGAGCATGGGCTCTGCAGTCTGCCACACCTGGGTTTGAGTCTTTGCCATTTGTCAGAACATAGATTAAAGTAGTAACTTCTTTTTATCTATGACATGATGTCAGCATTGACAACTGCTATGAACTGCTCTCATCTGTGAAATGGCTGCATAGTGACTTATCTCTTAGGGCTGTGAGTGTTCAAATATGATGCATGTAAAGATGTCAGCACATTGGCTTATGGTCAGTGGTCTGCTATGAACACCAGTATGCAGCTTCACATGGCATTTGGGAAGAACAGGGTTAAAGAGCTTCACCATGCTCCTACATTGGTGTTTACACAGTGGTAACTATGCTTTCCTGAGTCACTCAGTGGTAGCAGAAGGAATGGACTATGTTTTCCATGGAGAAAGGCTTATACACTCCCAGTTCTAAACAATCTGGGCAGTGCCAGGGCCCAGATCAGACGCTGGCAAGTGGCTGAATTGTGCTTTTATTAAGGTCTGTTCAAAAGAGCAATGTTGTCCACAAAGAACCATGCTGCCTGCCAGATTAAACACCGAACTTACCCAATAGCATGCGTTACCTACCATAGAAGGGAAAACAAATCCATTTTCATGAACCAAGCTTTAGAGGCACGGCCAAGGGATTAGTGAATTATATCTGTAACTCAGCTTATGATTCTAAGGCTTACAAATGCATGGATGGTTCAGACCATTGTCTTCTAAAAAGACTACTAAATGTTCTGGCAGACTTCAAATACATCCCTAAGGATCAGAAAAGAGACCAGCTTTCGACATCTTTCAAAGCTATCTCTCCAGTGTAGGGCTATGTGTAGTAGGATGCAAAAGTCACTTAGGTTGTGCTACGAGGAAGACCGGAAGCTGTAGTTGTAATATTAGCCATCATTTTTCTACCTTGCTGTCATGTGTGGTAGTCCCATGGTAAATCAAGGGCACAAACCTGCTTTCTTTACTTTCCTGCTTTCTGTATGGCCTGTAGCTGCTTGGGGAAAGATGAAGCCACAGTGGCATTTCTACACACAGCAAATCCACACATTGGTCGGGGGGAACAGCTGAGTCATCCTACAATTTGTTTTGGAGGGAAACTAATAATATGCAGTGTCTAGAAACCATTACAGAGGGTCAGAAGTGTCTTTCGAATTTAATTGAACCTACTATTGAATTTTCACAAAATGCCTACAAAGGAAGTATTAATAGTCATTAAATCCCAACTTCTAGAAAATTGAGTCTTAGAGAATTTAGCAACTTGTTTAAAGCCACAAGACTCCTGAGCAATGAAGTGGAGCTAGGCCTGGTAGTAGAGGCCTGAAATCTTGCTCAGGACGCTGAGCAAGAGGGATCATCAAGGCCTGCTGGGTAATTGCATGAGACCTAGCTTCAAAACAAACTTTAAAAGGAAAAAGAAGGTGGAGTTCAACTCAATAGCAGAGCACTGGTTGTGCAGGCATGAGGCTCTGGGTTTAATCCCTACTCACATGTTAAAAAAGATGAAGAGAAGATTTGAACCCAGAGACAGTAAAAGATGTAGCTGGGTAAAGCCCTAGGTTCAACTCCAGCACTTCATAAACTGGGTTTGGAAGTATGTTCCTGTGATTCCAGTACTGGGAGGCAAGAGAATCAAAAGCTGAAGGCCTTTCTTAGCTATATAATGAGTTTGAGGTCAGTCATGAGGCCCTGTCTAAAATAGATAAATAACTATTTTAACAAAATTTGCATTGGAACTGTAATGCCCAACCTACTATTTTTTTAACCACTGGCTGAAAATTCATAAAACCAAGGCATGTACAGGAGTCCCCAGAGACAGACAGTAGAATTAACCCTGCATACACACCATACACCTACTCTGCCCTTTCATCTGGCAGACCTACCATTAGCTTCATGCAGCTAATGCAATTTAAATTAATGAAAAGGACATTTAAATCTCAGCCCATTGCTGTTGCGCTTCATGATAGCCCATTTTTGGCTGTCAACTTGACTGCACCTGGAATTAACTTGAGCTGCTGGCACTCCTGTGAGAGTTCTTGATCAGGTTATTTGAAGCAGGAAGGCTCACTCTAAATCTGAGTGACATCTTCTGGCAGATGCCCACAGAAATGGACAGGGAAGAAGGAAGCTTTTCTTTCTGCCTGCTTGTCCTCACTCTCACTGGCACATTCTTCTAACCTGTCTCTGTAGCATTCCTTTATCAGTGTTAGGACCAGTTTCTTTGGGATTCCGACATAGACTGAAGATCAGCAGCTCTCCAGGAATCCTCCAGGCCTTCAGCACTAGTTTGTGACTATGTGTTCTCTCTTGGCCTTTCCTAGACTCCTACTTGAGGGTCCTGGTTTCCTCAGAAGGTCCTCTAATGTTATTGTCACAACAGACAAACCCAGAACATCTGCTTTAAGATGATGACATATATTAGAACAGCAAGCAACTAGCAAAAACACAGATTTCTGGGCTATGCTTCTGTTGAGCTGTGCCACAGAGGGACTGGACAGGAGGCTGAGGAGCACACATGTCCCAGTGGCTCTAGGGCAAGTGGTCTTGCCTAAGAAACCAGCTTCAGAGGCTGAAGTATGTATTTATCTATTGTCCTTTTAAATAATTACAGCCCATGAGAGAGTGCTCCCAGGCAGTCCTCCCCGCACTGACTGCTTATTTCTACAGCATCAGGGAAGGTGATTATTTACCAAAGCCTCATTCCCCCCCCCCCATCTGAAACATGGGCATAAGAATAGCTGAGCTTTGTCTTTTGGGACAAGTGGGAACACAGTAAAAGCATTTGAAGAGAGACAGAAGGTAAAACTCATTGTATAGACATCCTATGACTCGGGCTTTTGTTTGTCTAGGAGAAAGTTTAAATGGATTCTGCTATGAAAGATCTAATTAAGAGGTACTCATATGATGGCAGCAGCTGCTAGATTAAGAAAAAGCATGGCTCTGGAGTCAATAGAGCTTGTTCATCCTAAAACACTTGGGTCAATAGCCAAGCTTGGATGGGAGGGGTCACACAGGTCCTACTCCTCCCTGCTGAACTACTGGCTACTGATGGTTTTGGAAGTATAGACGTCATTATCTTTGGATGTATACCCACCAAGCTTCATTGGATAGTTTCATGCTTGTGGGCACTCAGCCAATCCTGGTTAGAATTCAGTGGGTCCCAAAACAAAACAAAAATTGGGAGCAGGGGAAGAGAACAGGCATGGCAGGGAGATGGGAGGTTGGGGCATGAGAGTAATCAGAATACACTGTACACATGTATGAAATTGCCAAAGGGCAAGTGTATTTAAATTTAAGAAGCTCGGTAATTTTCAAACTTTTTGGCTCTGATTTTCCAACTCAGAAATAAGAATAATGATATGTTTTCCTTGTAGTGTTGTGACAACTTAATTAATAGCTAATATTTGTGTTGTTCTGAGAACAATAGTCGACATGTGGTGTGGTTGGCATGTGGTAAGAGCTGTATGCGTTAGCTAAAATACTCATGTTTATGATAACTGGTAGCTGGGCTGAGCAGCAGCTGAGCCCATCAGATGGGATTACCAGATTTTACCACCTCTATTCACAGTGCAAGTACGCCTACAAGGAAATGTTATTAGGCTGCAATGTCAAAATGGTGCAGATCCCAGACTCTGACATGGGACCTTGCCATGAGATACGCCTATGATTCAGATTCTCTGCTAACACTGAGTACATCCTATCACATTCTTATCAAGGGGCAGACTAACATAAGGCTCTACTGAGCTTTACTGAAACACTCCCAACAAATAACTCACTGGTAATCTTAAACAGCACTCTGGCTGGTTTACATACCCTGGTCAGTAAGACAAGCACACAGGATGTGCACTTGGATATTAAAGCTGTGGTCATCTTAGTCAACTATAGTATCTCTATAGCCATCTAGAAAATTGTTGGAGACAATATCCTGAGGTGGTCTACCTCCACCCTGTCCATTTTAGTTAGCTTTCTTTCCCATCTCACACACACACACACACACACACACACCTTTGAGATACTGGGGTTCAGAAAACCTCTAGAAACTGGGTTCCTCAAGAAGTACCAGGCTGTGGGGTGCTGGCATCTCAAGTGTGCAGCAAATGCCACCACCTTATAGCTGTTCTTTCTTATGAATACTGTTAGCCAACATGATGCCTTACTCATGGCCACCCCTTCAACTTTGTTATACTCCCCCATATATACACACACAATGTGTGTGTATACATTAGACTGTAGGCAGTATACAGTAGACTGTAGGCAATGATGGGTGGGCATAGTAGGATGACCCATCAGTCTGAATGTCACCAGAAGACACCTACCTGCCATATAATCTTCAGAGCCAAACCCCAGAGGAGACGTTGTCTCTGTCTTGGCTCCTCCCTTTCTACTGGGAGTATCTGCCCACCCCTAAACCTCATCATGTATCACAGGCATACAGACTTTAGACTCAGGCTTTCTCTATATTCCATCAAGGATAGAAGCTCTCTGACACTTGGGTTAACCTTCCCCAGAAGCCAGCTGGAGAAGGGCATTGCAGAGAAAAACACTGTATTATCCAGGACCAGCCTACCTGTTGCATTGGACAGGGCCAGCGATTCCATAGAGCCACGAGGAGTCTGTTCTGTGGGTGTCATGTCCTCCGTGTATTTCAGGGAACTGAGTGGACGACGGGGTCGGCACTGCTGTGTAGCCATGCCACTTTCTTCTTCCTCCTCTTCCTCCTCATACTTGGGGACTGGGATGCTGCCTCGGGTTTCACTAAAGCTTTGGCTGGACATATCACTGTAGCTCTCCTGGGACATCATCCTCCCTGGGTAATAGTCCTCACGGCATTCCTTGATAAAGCTGCCACCATGCCCCTTCATGGCCATTGAAGAGCTTCTCTTGGGGTTGCTGAAGTGCTTGGCCCACACATCAGGCTGGGCTCCTGCTCCCTGCCCTCCAGAACCATAGGAAGTTCTGATGTTGCACTGGCTCAGAAGCTGCAAAGGACTCTGGGATTGGTTCTGCTCCATCTTGTTCCCATAATGGAAAGGCTCATCCCGGCTCCTCCAAATTGGGTCCCGATTGAGGCTGGGCGTCTGACTGGATAGGCTGAGGAGATCCATCTGCACTGACAGGGGGTCCACATCAGCTGAGAGCCGGTTAGAACTCACCTGCAGCTGGCTGTGCTGGCTCAGCATGGACTCCTCTGTTTTGCCTTTGTTCTTGCCGATTTTGGCACTGCGACGAGACTCCTTGGCTCTGGCATTTTGGAAGGCCGAATCAGATGAGTCAGAGCCATTGGGGTCCTCCCCAGCACTGCAGGCCCGTGAGCAGAATATCTGGCCCTGCTTCGGGAGGAATGGTCGCCCCAGGAGGGACTTTTTACAATGAGCACAGCAGAAACAAGTCTCGGTAGCATGCCAGTGTTGGCCGTCGTAGGTCATTTGACCTTGGTCGATCCCTGGGAAACAAGAGACAGAAATGAGGCTGAGGAGCTGCACTGAACACTACAACATCACATGAAACATCACACCAAAAAAAAAAAAAAAAAAAAAAAAAAACATGACCAGGCTGGTGTAATCAGTGCCCACACCCTGTTACAACTTATGCTACCAGTCAGCGGACTTCACAACTTCCCTTGCTAGCAGCATGGAGAATGCAGATCAGAACAGCTTAGCCATGAAGTCTGCCAGAGACACATTTTCCCCAAATAGCAACAGAAGTTGAGCATCCTTAATCGAAAAATCCAAACCCAAAATGCTTCAAAAGCCAAAAGTTTGGTGTCAACAAGATGCTGCAAGCAGAAAATTCTGTATAATAAAATTGCTTCATGCATAAAAGTATTTAAGATGTCTTATAAAAGCATTTTGAGATTATATGCATAAGCTATATAGGAAATATAAATGAGTTCCATGTTTAGACTTGGGGCCTATCTCTCAAGCACCTCATTATAGACACGCATGGTTCTAAAGGCTGAACTAATTCTGCTCCTAGACATGTCAGCTAAGGGATATTCAGTCTGTGACAGTACTAGCCTGATAAAGCACTTGATTGTTTGAGGTGAGCTTCTACCAGGGATCTGTTTTCTGGACAAGGAATGCATACATAGAAGGTTAATGGCTAGCCTACGGTAATTTAATTAGGCACCAGAGACCAGATCTGTCTTCTGTATAGCAGTCCTGTCTTCTTTACTCAGGAATCTGCTGTCTCAAGAGCCTTCTTGCCCACTGACAATGGTAGCCTTGGCTGCTTCTCCACTTTTCCTTATAGTATCAACAGTCCTTTCCACCATGCCATCATCCACATTTCCAGTGGATCTTCCCAGACACCAAATCTGTCAGGTCCTTGACCATGGCCTTCACATCCTCAAGAACTATGAGAAATGTTTGTATTGTGGGAAATCCTGCTTACTCTTGGTAATGAAAAGCCATGGCCAAATCTATCAGGAAGGGAGGAGGCACAGTTCCTCCACAGCAGGGCTCTGCTCTTACACTCCTGTGTGCTAGGGGACCTCGCACATCCCTTCACTCTGCTTGGTTTCTCACTAGTTCTTCTGCCTTCTTTTGATGGAAAGAGGGTACTGTCCTTGTGGATGCCATTAGCTTGGGCACTGAAATAACCTTGCAACAAACCTTGGCTACCAGTTAAGAGTATCTTCTAGTCTTGGGGTTTGGTCTAGGGATGGCTCATAACTAGCAACAGGGCAATGAGAGGATTGCCTGAGGCTTCTAAGAGTGATATAACAGGCAGTTGGAGTAGCTACCCTGGGGATAGCCTATTAGAATATAGATTCCTGGGATTCCCGTGGGTAGGAACAGATCTCATAAGATTGCCAATGTGTGATGATAAAAGGTCTCTTCAGGAAAACAGCACTAACACGAACCTCCACTTTTTAGTGGACAGAATTCCACAGCCTGGATTTTCAAGGTATAACTTCCAGACACCTGTCTAGAGATTAGAGATGAATAGAACAAGAACCGAGAGGGAAATGAATGCTGGGACCAAAGTGCTGTAGGAAGCAACTTATTCCTGGCAGGCTCTGCCTCTGCTGCCTTTTATGTCACTAGAAGCCATGGATAGATAAAAAGGAGGCAAATTCTTCTCTTGCTAGATGTTCTCCAATCTGGGGAAGGAAGTGTCTCATCAATTAGGCACTAATCCCTATTGTCAATAAGAGGGAAACTTCATGAAGACAGAGGTCTTTGTTACAGGGCAACTGCATTTGAGAAGGTCATTGTGTGACTAACTCTACCCCCCTGGCCAGCAGCATCCCAGGGAGATTGAGAATGGAAAGTTGGGGCAGGGCTGGAAATAGACATCTCTAAGCTGGGGCTCCAGCTAGTGCTTCTGCCCAGGCCTATGGGGGGAGCAATGAGTTGTAGAAGGGTGTAGAAAAATGTACTAAGAGTGGGACTAATCTGGCTCTGCCACTTCCAGGGGCCTGTAAAACCACTGAAGCCGATCTGCTGGGTTTGAATATTAGTCCTGTGGCTCCACGCAAGTGGCTTCAACTCTAGGGCCCTGTTTTCCCCAGCGAAGCACAGAGATGAAATTAGGCTGTTGTGAGTGACTACACAGACGACTTAGTCCCAGCTTGCTAGCTATTCAAACTGTCTTTCCCTCAGTTTTATTAGGTCTGAAAGCCTAGCTCTCTCTTTGTAGATGCTATCCAAAAGCAACCCGAGACCATGCAGCTTCTCTTTCCCTCTCTACGGTTTTTCTTCTCTGTGTCAAGAGTCTTGAGAGCTTATTTTTGTCTCTTTAGTTGCCCAGGATCATTGATGACATGCAGTTACTTAGCGTGGTATCCCACAGCTGTATCTTTGCCTACTCTCCACCGGAGAACTCAGAAGGGTGGGTCCTCTGTCCTGTCCACCCCCACGTTGCAAGGATTCTTAGAAGTGTCAGAGGAAGGTCAAGCTTTCTGGAATGGGGCCTCATAAGACAGAGTGGGGAGGGGAGAGTGAAGGAGAGGCAAATTACAAAGCAGCCCCAGCAGGCAGTTGAACATTGCCTCTGATAAACATCATCGATGTCAGATGGCCCTCTGAACTGCTCCTGAACTCCAAACATCTGGAAAAGGGCTCTGTGTTCAACATCTAAGCATGCTTAAAAAAAAACCCTCTAAGCCCTTTAAGCACTTCTCTAAAGGAGCTTGCATCTACCGCCATCACAGTCTCATCTGTTTATAAGACTGTTTACTCTGCTATGCACAAGCAAGAGTCCTGTTGCCATGGTAACGGTTGCCTGATGCAGGATCTGCTTTGAGCAGCTGCATAAATATGGAATATTTGTACAGTATGGGCAGAGGTGTGGCATTGATGGCTGGGATATACATGATACACACAGCAGGAGCTCACTGTCCCAGGGAAATGACATTTTACAGGAAAGTAGACTTTAAAAAACTCAGGGACAGCAACTTAACTATAGCAACAGACAGACTGCAGACCACAAGCAGTCACCTTTTCTAGTAAAATATGGATGGATGCCTTTTATGGATTCAAGAGGAAAGGAGGATGCCAATAAAAGCTGTGGACAGCTGAAAGAAGACTGAAGACCGAGGGGCTATTTGAGGTACACACAAACCAGTCCTAAACAGAGTTTTCTCTCCCAAGCTTCTGGGAGAAAACTCTAAGTAGCCATTTGTGGCTAGGCTTGTGGCCTCTGTGGAAAGGGAAAAGACACAGAAAGGATGTCTATCAGAAGGTGGTGTCACTGCTGTGGGTTAAGTTTCTAACGCTCAGTCTCTCCCATCTGGGTAAGCAATGACCAGAGGCCTTAAACCTAGCCTGGAGTCAATATAATGTACCGCTGTCTCTGGGATGGTCCCTCCCACTTTCCCACCTCGCATGTCCAGTGGCAATTCAGGTCCCCACTTCCTAACTCAAAGCACCAAAGAACATCAGCATGCCTGAATGTGACAATTCTGTAAACAGAAAGGTTTCTGGGCACTTGGTCACAGTGGCATTTGGTGAAAGGGAAGGGGTCTTGCCCATCAGGGAAGTCCAGAAAGTAACGATGAACCCCAGGGAAAAGACTGCTTCTTTTGGATCCATACAAAAGCTAAGTAGAACAAAATGGAGTCGTGAATGGAGGGTCTCTATGTCTCCTCACTGCAAGAAGGGCACTGGCAGCTTCTAAACCAGCTTCTTGGAGTTTTGTGACCACAGAAAGGCCATAGATATTTGTCCACTGCCACCATTTCTTAAACAGAGGTGCTCATTCCCAAGGCACCAGAAAAGGTGAGGCAAAAGCAGGTCTGATGAAGCAGGAGGGCTGAATAAATGCGGACGATTCTCATCGCCCCCCATCTGCCATGAACTGGGAGCACACAGTTCTTGGACTATTTGTTTTGCTCTGCCTTTGGCTTGGCTCACTGTTGTTGAGTTCCTAGAAGACACACTTGCTGGAAGCCAGTGACCATCCCTTGTTACCAAAGGATCCCACCCCCATTCTTCCCTCTGCCCATTCCTGATTTTGTCTAAAATGTCATTGAGGGATATATTCGTTTCTCCTCAGTTTTCCTTTTGGGGCTTCACACTTTCCCCTGAGAGTGGAAAAGTATACTACAAAGTTCCACCTAAAGGCAGATCCATGGCCAACTCAGGACTGATAAGATTCCATCCTGAAGAACTTACTTGGAAATGGTATGCCAATTCCTTCCTCCTTTTGAGAGGGCATGTGTTAAGATGATGTATAACTAGAGCAACATTTCAATCACCACGTGAAGATCGTTTGTTTCCAAAAGATTCCAATAGAAGGCAAACTGAGCTAACACAGAGAAAAACATAACAATGCCCCCGACCCTTTTTAAACCCTTCATACACTTCTACCTGAAGCTAAACACTCTTTAGCTTTTCTAGTAAAATGAGTCCTTTTCACTTAAAACTGGTAGCAGCTGGTTTATTAATTGTTAAAGCAAAGAAATTCTAACTGTGCCAGATGCAGGGTGGAGTCCATCTTAGAAGGATCAAGCTAAGTGCCGTACGTGGCCTTACCTATATGTTGGGCACAAGTGTCACAATATTCTGCATATAGGGACTCAAAGCAGTGGCAGCAGTAGGGCCTTCCTTCCTTCATGATGTATCGCTGGCCTCCCAGCACGGTCTCACACTCAAAGCAGCAGAAGTGTCGCATGTGCCAGTGTCGTCCCTCAGCTTCCGTGCACTCATCTGCAAAGATGATCTGGGGATAGGAAACCATGGGTCAGGGTCCAAGACTCTCTGTGATGACATGCTGAGTTACAGAGCCCCCACTATAAAGATGTGACCCACAAACTGATCACATTGCATGCATGAAAGCTTATTCTGCAACTTCATCTGCCTGGAGCACAGTGAAATATGGTGCCACATTTCAGCGGAGAGCGAATGCTCTACCTTGGGGAGCATGAAGCAAAATGAAGGATAGCTTTCACACACCAGCTTCATTTGGCTGAGGCACAGTGTTTTCTAAAATGGGGAATGTCATATGAATCCTTGGAACTCTCTTCTTTTTCTTCTTGGAAACATAAAATTGGGCAATGCTTGGAATGCATTTATATATGATAATACTCTTCAGCTAAGAAATGTGACTGCTGCTTCCAGATGAACATCCAGTTGGCCCGCTAGTCATGGTCTTTAACACTTACTTCCCTTTGTCTCAGAATTGGTCACCCTCAACTCTAAAGCCTTCCTGGCCCTGAGAAGTATTTTATGTTTTGGCCCATCAGAGTTGTTTTAAACTTCAAAACATACATTTTTAAATGTATTATGATGCTATAATAATCAGTTTAGTGTGGCACTGCCATTAAAAACTAAAATAGAGCAGAACTCTCTGAGTTAAGAGTCTAAGAATTGATTGTGTGTGTGTGGGGGGGGGGTGTCACTTGGTTGTCAAAGGAGGTACTAAGACTATACTATGATAAAGGAATAGTCTTTAACAAACAGAGCTGGGACAATTGGAAGTCCCATTCAAAACTGTCAGTTGAATCCTACCTACCACCATAAACAAAAATTAACTGAAAGGGGATCAATTGCCTGACAGGACAAAGGTGACGAAGTTCTTAAAAGAAGCTAAAGTTGTAAATCTTCTTGACCTTGGTCTAGGCAATGGTTTTGTAGACATAGTAAACAAATATATGTAACAATATGTAAATAATAGGCCATGAGAACTTCATCAAAATTAAAAACCTTTATGATTTGAAGGATGTCAATAAGAAAGTAAAAATAAAGAAAATGGGAGATTTATCTATAAACCATGTATCTGACAATGGACTTGTATCAGATAATATGAACAAACTCTCACAAGTAGAAAAAAAATTAATCCAACTGTGAAAAATGAGACAAAGCTTTCAACCCATAGTCCCCCCCAAATTAATAAACAAATAAACAAAAAATATTTAAAAGGTACTTAAAATTACTAGTGGTTAGAAAATTTTATACCTATTAGGTTGGCTATAATAAAAAAGGATATAACTGCAAGAACTGAAGATAATGTAGAGAGCTGGAATTGTCTTGACAGTAAGAATGGAGAGTGGACAGCTATTTTAGAAGACAGTTTGGCCTTCCTCAAAAAGGTAGGCTTAGAATTACCATGGAATACATTCAATATTTAAAATTCATGTGTACCTGGAAACTTATACATATATGTTCATAAGTAGCATTGTTCATTACAGGTAAAAGCAGAAACAAATGCCCATCAGTTGCTAAATGGCAAAGCCAAATGTGATATATGCATAAAACTGTTCATATAGATTCATATAATCCATGCTCAGCCATGGAAGAAATGAAGTCCTAATATTTACTACAACAGAAATTGACTATGAAATCATTACTCTAGATGGAAGAAGCCAGAGACAAAAGAAAACATCATGATTTCATTCATATGAGATGCTAGCTCTCATGAACCCAGAGAGGGACAGGGCTGGGAGAAGGGACCTGGCAGACAGAATGATGCCTCCAGACTGTTGTTTATGAGCTCAGACAGAAACACAGAGCTACTACTCTATGAATTGGTATTCCTTCTAAGACTTTCCCCTAAATCAGTGGTTCTCAACTTGTGCGCCACAACCCTTAGAGGTCACATATCAGGTTAAGTATTTTGATTCATAACAATAACATAATTACAGCTATGAAGTAACAACAAAATGATTTTATGATTGTGTGTGTGTGTGTGTGTGTGTGTGTGTGCCATCATAACATGAGGAAACTGTATTAAAGGGTTGTAGCATTAGGAAGGTTGAGAACCACTGCTCTAAATGATTCCTATAAAGGGTCAGCAAAGGCAAACTTTCTACTTTGTGGTGCAATGGTCACATGGAACTTGGGTATGCTTCTGGTGGGGAAGAAGTGTTTTTGTATGCCTTTCTGATTTCTTACCACAATGCTTTCAGGCACCTGTCATGCCAAGGGTGGAAACATCCCAGTAGCTATCCACTGCTCTAAAACTTTTGTGGGAAAGAAAGAAAAAGAAAGAAAGAAAACACCACCACCCATTTTCTTCCCCTCTCTAATCAATTGTAATTGTTCCAGAGCATCTTCTAGAAGTGGAACTCTATTTCTGATATGCATGTTCCAGAGTTTTAGTTGGTATCTTAAGTTACTCAGTGGATTCTTTACCTTTTATTTTATTTATTTATTTGTGTGTGCACATGTGTGTCTGCAAGTGCCTGTACATGTGCATGAGTGTGTGTGTGTGTGTGTCTATATGTTGAACTGTAAGGGCCTAGTGCTAGCTGACTGCCATTTGAGAATTTCCATGGTTGCAGCATATGGTTCTCCACTCTATCCCTACAGGGGAGGCTCTGAATCCACCATGCCTGAGTTAGGTGAACCATATGCTAGATGCCACATTCACTGTGATTGGGAAATGGGTGATGTTTCTCTGAAAAGGGTTAACATAAGAGGGCAGAGTCACCTATAGTTGTTTCCCTATATGGGAAGTCGAACGCCATGCACATATGTCATGCTATGGTGCAACAGAGGGATGGTGGGACAGGGTACTATTACTGGGAATAATAGTCTATGGTAGATTGTGTGTGTGTGTAAGAGAGTGAGAGAGACAGAAAGAGAGGTGAGAGAGAGAGAAATAGAGAGAGAGACAGACACACGGAGACAGATAGTCAGAGATAGAGTGAGAGGCAGGGGGACAGAGGCATCATGACACTGAAAGTGCTACCTCTACCTCTCATGAATATACCAGAAAAGTTAAAGTATTCACACACGGATGGGGCTCTGACCTCGTCACAGGCTGCACAGCGCGGCTTCAGGCACTCAGCATGGTGCCTACCACAGTAGATCTTCCCATCTTGGTAAAAGTAGATCAAGTCAACCAAAAGCTCATTGCAGACGGTGCATATAAAGCAGGGTGGATGCCAGCAGATGCCATGGCCAGCGCGTGATGCAAACACAGCAATGTCCCCACCTTTAATCTGCCCTCCACACTGTGAGGGAAACAGAAACAGCACAACATCAGCTGTAAAGGAAGACATCCAACTATTACCAACAGCTAGCTACTAGGGCATTATATGGATGCTAGCTAGTATGTGTGTGTGTCAGTCCATCTGTCAGTCCTGTGTGTTGTGTTCCCTAGTCCCCGCCCACACACACACGGCTTTTCATATCTGGTAGGGCAGATTTATCTTGTTCTTCCCAGGAGCTCCCACCCCAGGACCTAAGTGAGATAACTTAAGTAATAGAGAATGAGAAACATAAAGGTGTGAGATGGATTCTCAGTATGGTTGTGTGTGTGTGTGTGTGTGTGTGTGTGTGTGTGTATACCTGCAGGTACCAAGTTGAACTTACAAAGCATGGAAAGAAAAGGCCTAACCATCTCCTATATATCCAAAAGTTCATGCAGAGGCATTGGTAGTTATTTTAACACTAGCAGGAAAGGCTGTAGAGAGAGGGTGTGGCTGGGGTGGGGGCCTGCACTATTGAATGGTAGGGGACTGGGCACAAAAAATCCACTCACTCTTTAACTTCTATTTTATGTGCATTGGTGTGAAGGTGTCAGAATCCCTGAAACTGGAGTTACAGACAGTTGTAAACTGTCTTGTAGGTGCTGGGAATTGAACTGGGGTCCTCTGGAATAACAGCCAGTGCCTCCACGCTAGCTGTTTCTCATGCCTAAGATCTGCATGCCTCCTCCAGATGCCACCTTCTTAGTGGGGTCTTTTGCGACCCTTAAGACTGAAGCTGTCACCAACTTCCTAGCTCCCCTCTGCTGCAGTTTTTCTATTTTACTGATTTGATTTACTGTATGTCTTCCCCAGTGCATAGTTCTTTATGTGAGAAAGACCATGCTTTCCTGTCTTTTGCTCACTGCTGTTATCTTTGATGCCTGAAAGAAGGCTGAGCACCTAACAGGCATCTAATAAAATAACTTCCCAGCACCAGTCCATCCTCACCTGCTCACAAATGGCTCCTGTCATGGTAACGGGGAAGGGCCTGACATTCCCTCGGCCCAAGTTCTCACGCTTCCTCTGATTGCTGAACAGCTTCAGCTCCCTCTTCTCTTCTTCATCCAGGGAGTTGCAGTATCGAACCTGAATACACAGAGGACAGCATGGAGGAGGTGTCACGGGTCCAGGGGAAGTCTGAATCCCCCACTCAGGGCTCTCAGCATGGAGTTACTTAAGATGAAGCCAGCACTAAGATGGGTGAGACACAAAGGACTGTGAACACTGCAGTCCATGCCTCAGGAGGGAAGCATGTTCTAGAAGCACTCCTCACCCTTCACACTGTTCCCACACTCAGATCAAAGTCACCAAGAGTGGCTCAGAGCTGGGGATGTCCTGGAACAGTCTCCTTATAAACTACAGGGAGCTGAAGGTTTTTGTGTTATCCATGTCTATGCGAATGAGCATTGCACCAAAGAATGGTTTCGCTTGGGCTGTCAGCATGCGCACATCATATGTCCTCCATACTGCTTTGGGAAGTGAGAATAGGCAAGCATTCATCTGGCTCCTGCTAATATGACAATATGCGAAAGAGACTGCATTCTTTTTAAAACACAGAGTCAAAGAATTTAGGGAGGGACGAAAGGCATCTGCATCCAGGATCTGCCACTCTGTTCCATTGTTTCTGCTCTTTGGTGATTGTGCCATGGTCCTGAACTATGATTTATTAATGCTAGTTTTAAATATGACTCACTTTAAGAAAGTTGGATGCATTTATTTAAAAGGAAAACAGGTTATGACTACACAAAGGAAAGTCAATCATCTGCACAGATGGGATGGTAACTCTCAAACAGAACAAAACCATACTGTTAGATCCAAGCTGACCACTGCATCTTCAGGAGATGCTAAAACTGACGAGTTTACCAACAAGGGTGAAACAGAATGGGCTGCAGTGGTATTAGGATACCTGCCAGTACCAGGTATCCTATCACTGCATCACAAAGGCAAAATGTAATTTAAAAGGAACTAGGCATTCATTACAGATTCAATTTCATTTATTGCCACGCTAACAGCTACCCCAAGCCATACTTATACCCTCCTTTGGGAAATGTGGTCTCATGCATCTCATGATTTCTTCTGGAGTAATTCAGATTTCCAAAATGTTGACTGCATTTCTTAGACAGTTTTCATAAAGAAAATTACAAGAAAGGCTTTCAACTAGGACTGTTGTGTGTTAATTTAAAAGTCAGAGCAACTATGTCTATTCAAATTGTTCTATCTAAGTGAAAAGAGAATGATCAAGTATTTGCTTTAGAGTCAACTTCTGCCTTCAAAAGAGGCCATGTCACCATGTCAAATGAATGACTCTTGTCCACTGGCTTTCATGTATCACATCCTACCAACATGGAGTCATCATCCAAATGGTGTCTACTTAATGAAAGCACAGTTAACCATAAACAGAATGAACTACTACAAGCATAAGCCAGATCACTGTCCTCCCACAAGTGATAGTTTAAAACAAAAAGTCTTCAGGGGAATGTTCCAGAAATCTAACAGCCCAGAAAACATGGTTGCACCGATGACATTTTATGGGCATGCTTTTAAAAATAGGCACACACCCCGCTTGTAAAAACTTGCATTTTCACCTCTAGATCCGGTTACGATGCTTGCTTTCATCTTTAAAGTAGGCAACTTTTGCGTTTGTTTTATGAACCCTGAAATAAGCAGTAGGAGAAAGAAGAGCAGCTTTCTAGGGAGTTGCTTCAGCTTCTGAGACATCGTCTCACTTATTCAGAGCCATGTATTTAGCTCTGCAGTGCTGAGGATTAAACTCGGGGCTTTGCACATGCTAGACAAGGGCTGGACTGTGATTGGCACTCTCAGTCTCTCAGCATTAGCAGCTCAAATTGTTTCCATTTGGGCTGGCAAGATGGCTCAGAAGGTAGAGGCGCTATCTGCAAAACATGATATTCTGAACTTGAGTTTGATCCTCAGAACCCACATAGTGGAAGGAGAAAACCAATTCCCATAGGTTGTCCTCTGACCTTCACATACATGCTGTGGTATGGGAGTGTTTTACATACCACACACACACACACACACACACACACACACACAATAAAAATGTAAAGAAAAAATTATTCCCTTTTGTATAAATAGGTCATCTGATACTCGAGCCCTGTATGTAATGAGCTGGTAGAAACTAGTGCCCACCTCTCTGAAAAGGTCATTTTTTCTTTCAATTTAAAAATTACGCTTTTATTTTAGAGAGCTAAATAATGCAGATCTGTAGGATTCTTGATTTTGAAACCAGACATCTACAAATTAATTTCCAGCTTGGAAACCTAATTTCCTCCCACACGATCTTTAAAAGCTTGTTTACAGATTTCTTCCTTAGGATCAATGTGATTTCAATAATAAGTCATGCTGGCCAGGCAGGGTGGCTCATCTGCAGCCTAGCACTCGGGAAGAGGAGGTCTGACTGGCAGTTCACTGAGCTGCTGAGACAGTTCCAAGTTATCCTGGCTAAAGTGAAAGGCAGTCCCCCAAACTCAAACTCAGAAGCAAATACATACATGTTTGCTTCCAGAGCTGTGTTTCTGGAATTAGGAAAAAGGAATGTCCACATCCATACCACTTTCAAAATACTGATGGTTGACTCTAACAAGGTGGATTCTGGCTTGACAAATGTCCAGCTGCCAATCTAGACCCGGAACTTCAGCTGCCTTCAACATGGAGAACCTGCACATTCACTTCTCAGGAAACAATCCTGAGAGTCTGAAAGAATCACAGCGTTTCTTCCAGGCATGAAGCGGTCCTTAGTCATCTTCCCACAAGCAACTGGCAGGACATATGCCAGTCAAAAAACACTGGCCCGGGCTCTCAAACAGTACTCCCTGCTTTCTGTACTACTCAGTCATACTAGGCTTGGAGTCAAACCCAGTCCAGGGTGGGTTTTCTTTGAGGGGGGGGGGTGGGGTGGGAAGTGCTCTCCAAAAATATCAGCCAGTTTCTTTAGATTCTAATTAAGGAAGCTGAAATTTAATACCAATTGCCAGAAGGGTTTTTTTGGGGGGCAGCAATCTTCCTAAAGGGGTAGTCCACCAGAAGCCCCCTCTAAACACCTCACCTCATTGTCGTGGGGCGGCAGCTGGTGCAATAGCTGCTTGATGCGCAATTTCTCTCCAGGACTGTTGACATAAGGGACTTTCTCTTCTGGAAGGCAGCTATAGTACTGGTGCACCTGAAGGACAGAACACACAGCACTTGTCCATTACTCACCGCATGTGCCACCACCCCTGGCCACCCTGAGGACGGTTCACAGTGGGGAGCCGGCTGCTTCCAAAGCTCCCACCGCCCCTCAGGACAGTCTACTGCTGTCTTTCCAGTCACACACACACACAGAAGAGCACCCTAAAAGATAGATCCGAGAGAACGGCCCCTCACTTGGGGGCTACCCCTCTCTGGAAGGGGAAAAGGAAAGTCGAAGGAATTCCTTATCAAAGGAGGATTCAGCAAATGCACAGGCGAAGCCAGAGGGCAAGGCTTTCCCAGCCGACTCCCCGACGTGGCAGTGGTGCTTTACCATTTTCTGTGGCGCTGTCCCATGGGAGGCACCTCTCTAGCCAAGGGATGTGTCAGTGCCTGCCTAAATACTGCTCTCAAACCTTTCTCTGGCACTCTGTAGGTGCCTGGGTGTCTCAGCTTCCACCTACGTCAAAAGCCCTGCAGGTCCTGAGCCATCTGCAATGCAGGCAGCACTGACATGCTCGAGAAAGAGACTCAGTGCAGGCCGCAGAACAGGTAACTCAGCAGCAGCAGCAGCAACAGCAGCAGCACAAGGACCTTTGCATCTCCTGCAACGCTGTTACTTATTACTGATGTATTCTGAGGTTTACTAGTTTTTAAACACTGGGGGAAGTAGCAAACATCCAATTTTGCCTAAAGAACTAAGGCATACATTCTACTGAGGCTGTGGCCATCCAGGATAGAGGAGGAGGAACATAACAGGCCCAGCTTAAATGGTGTTTTCTTTTTTCTTTCTTTTTTTCCCAGCAGTAGTAAATTTCTACTTTATAGATTTAAAAGAAATAAATGAATTGCACCCCCCCCACATGCACATGGAAGAAAAGGGAAGGAGGAAAATGGTGTAGTTATATTTTAATTAAGGTTTCTATTTGTTATATATTTATGTGTACAGACATATGCTCCTGTGAGTTTATCTGTATCAGTGCTTACAGGTGCCCACAGAGGGTGAGCATCTGCCATCCCAGGAGACAGTCTTACAGCGAACTCCCTGATCCTTAGTTCTTAGATATTTCTTTGCTCATGGACAGAGACAAAGACCCAGTCCTTACTACATAAGTGATGCATGGATACCTTTAGATCAATGAAACAGAAAAGGAGACTCACTAGGTGCCCCGAGCCTTTGTCTACCCGAGAAGTCTGTAATGCTTGCTTGCCAACAAATACATATGCACTGTGCTGTTTTCCTGTATCTTTAACTGATAGAGAAAAAGAACCCGCTCTCTAGCTACCGTCACATGGAAAATTAATAGAAGTAAAAACTGACATTAAGGGCTTGGAGGGTGACTCCGCTAGTAAAGCACCCACTGTGCATGCACGAGGACCTGAATTTGGACTCCCTGCATCAGTATAAAGAGCTGGAGGAGTAGCATGCATCTGTAACCCAGAGCAGGCTTAAGGAGGTAGCTACATCCTAGGTCAGCTAGACTAGCAATTAGTAAGTTATAGGTTCAGTGAGCGACCCTGTCTTCAAATATAAGGCGGACCATGACTGAAAAAAGATACCCACGTTGACCTCTGGCCTCCATACGCACCTGTGTGTACACAGCCACACAAATAGGAACATATAAAAAGAGACACAAAGACAGACAGACAGGATGCTAATAATCAAAGACAAACAGACAAAGAGAAAGACAGAAAGGATGCTAATGATCAACAGTATGATATTTTATAGAGGAGACAAAAAATAATCTCCACAAGTCAGACACCATAGAAGCTTTCAAGATCTCCCATTGAGCAGTATAAGCAGCCCTCATGAAACAAGCTACGTATTCAATGGTCTGGAGATAGACTGGGCCTCTAACACCATCATAATCTCACTCTGCATATTGTCCTCCACATGCTTTCACTAAATTCTTTGCATTAGGGGTAGTGGATATGACCAAATGTTCCAGGAATGCTGAGTGAAGAGCTGTAAAAGCCCTGCTCAGTCTCTGTAGTTTGGCATGTGAGCCTTGCTCCTGTGCCACAACATGCTTGAAGAAGTTTTTCTAAGATGCAATCCTTGTAATCCTTCAACTTTTGAGACTGAGGCAGGATGATTGTGAGCCTGACTAGCCTAGGCTATATAGTAAAACTCTGTCTCAACAACAATAGAAGAAAAAGAGGAAGGAAGAGAGATGTGAAAATGAAGAGGAAAAGGCAGCATCTCTCTACAGACATTCCTAATATTTTCATAATCATGAAACAAGCAGAAATCACTAACATGAGATGAATCCCTGCCACACTTGAGAATATAAACAACTGGAGCCTGCCTGATCCTCCTGCCAATCATTGCTCATTATCTTCACAGCAGCTATCCTGAGCAGTTAGCCCTTTTTTAGTGGGACGTTGAACCAACGTTGCCATGATGCTGGCCACATTCATTCTTTGTACCCTCCACAACATGGCAGATAGGTATAAACCACTAGCTGCGACTCTGTCATTTCCTGAGCAAGTTATAAACATGTTCAAATTCATCATAAGACCACGAGGGCTAAATGAGAGTGGACACATATGACATAAATGTGTAGTGATGAACCATACAGCCTGACCTCATCAAGATGGAATAGTTGAGATACTTCACAGCCATGATGCTGACCTTGGTTGTCAACCTCACTACACTTGGAATCAACTAACACCCAAGCAGCTGGGCAAGCCTGTGAGGTGGGAAGACCTATCCTAAATCTAGGTCACACCTTCTGGTGACACCTCACCAAAAAGGACATGGAAGGAGGGAACTTTTTACTTGCTTGCCCTCACTCTCACTGGCAAGTTCATCTACTCTGTTGCTGAAGTATTCCTTTGCTGGGCTGGTATTAAAACCTACTTCTTTGGGATTCCAATGTGGACTGAAAACCGGCTCTCTAAGAATTCCCTAGGACTCCAGCAGCACATTGAGACTGCTGAGACATCCAGTCTCGTGGACTGAACAACTACTAGATTCTTGGCCTTTCCAACCCCAGACAGCCATGGTTGGACTACACAGACCACAGCCTATAATTCTAACAAATCATCTCCACACACACCATTCATTCTATTAGTTCTGTTCATTTTGAGAACCCTAACTAATACAATGGCCTTGTTTTCATGTTAGGACTTGTAGCAACACCGGTAGTGAAGACAATGAGACCAACTCTGGGCACCACCTTTCTTAGTCTAAGCAAGAAAAAAAAATAGGTTGCAAAGAATGTAGTATTAAAATGAACTTGATTTCTAAGGAGAGAAATGCCAGATTATTACAAAGGCATGATGTTTTCTCATCAGCTTCCCATCTCTCTCATCACAGAGTCCTTTTGTCTTTGCTCTATTCTTTCTCTGTGAAACTCCTTAAAGCTCAAGGTTCCCCCAGCACTGCTTCAGTTCAACAGTCTGTCCCAGACTGACTAGCTTTTCTCAATTATAAGTTCCCTTAGAGAATGATCTTGGGTACCCTTCTTGGGCTGGGTCTACACTGGGAGATGGGATGCAATGAGCTCCCCACAGCTAAAGACTGGGGGGCAAAGGAATTCCAAGATTCACCACATAACTGGGTGAATGTGGGGCCAGCAGTGATGGAGATCTCAGAGAGACAGCACTTGGTGTGTACATTAAGCTTCCTGCTGTTGGGACAAAATCATTTGAGACCAACAATGTAAAAGGAGGACAGATTTAGCTGATGGTTCCAGAACTTTCAGTTCATAGTTTTTTGGCCCTGTCAATCTGGGCTGATGCATCGCTAAGAATGTGGCAAAGGTGTATGGTACAGCAAACTATTCATGTAATAGCTTCCAGGAAGTGAAAGAGAGAGAAGGGGCTGGGCTCCAATGTCCTCTTTCAGGGCTTGCCACATTAACATCACTTCCTTCCACTAGGCTCCACCTCCCCAGGATTCTACCACTTGACATTAGTGCCACACATTGGTGACCAAACCTTTAGCATTCAAGCATGCAGAGACATTTCAGATGCAAACTGTAACAAAGTGCTGAGGTCCATCATAAAGATAGCATTCTCCAGTCAATAGAGGCAGTGGCTGCTTTGTGGGAACATAGCCTTTTCTTTTTTGGACAAACAACATTACCTGTTATAGTTCATACCTCATGACCACCCCGAAATCCATCCTTTCTACCAGTATCCCAATAAGTCTTCACATACAGAAACTATTAAAATACTTTCTTCCAAGGTCACCAACAATTTGATGAAGAACTTAAAACTTTACTTAACTGTTCTCAAAACAAATGGGTTCATGTCCATAACAATCACCAATATAATAACCAATAACCAAGTCAAATAACCAAGTCACCAGGACCTACTCCAAAGTAGGTGACTCGTGTACTCTAAGGAGAAAGATGAGTTAGTCCTCTCCAAAGCCTATTGAAGGCCTGCCATATTGGCTCTCCATCTCTTGAGGTTTGGGTGTCAGACGTTCTAATGGAGTTAGGTGTATTATCAGGAGGTGGTCATCAGCTAGGGGAAGGGACAGCTCTTGTGAGTCCCCAGTCAATGGAGCCTACATGACTGCTTCATAAAAATCACAGGACAGCCCCCAAACAAACATCAACCAAACCGATGGAAATGAGAAACTATGGCATCTACTTTCAATACTACAAAAATTCAATTTGGCACTAACGCATGGAGACCCACACATGGTTTAATTTAGCCCAAACATGTTCACTTGTTCATTTTATAAGTAAATAAGCAAACCTGATGGAGTTTTATCAGTAAGGATCATTACCAAGCTATTAATCAATTAGCACGCTGATAGTGCTGCTATTTGTATTGCTCTTTACAAGTGAGCCTGCTGAATGTGCTAGAAGCTTTGCTCTACTTAGGTGTTCCCAGGTAAGCATGTCTTGTGATCCTGCCTGCCCTGGGTGAAGTCACACTGTCCCTACACAAAAGCAATGAGAACACAGCACACTGGCTTAGAAAATTAAACTGCGGGAATTTTTTGTTTAAGATGTCACTCCTAGGCTAGGT